CTAGTTACAAGTTTGCCAATTTTCTCTCCAGGTGCATGTGTACTAGCAGTTCAGTGGAGGTTTGTATCCCAGCCATATCAACTTAGCAACTATGGACGTGCCCTAAGCAAGAGCAGGAATTACTCAAGAATCAGCATCTCCAGTATGGTATTGATGTCATGTGACCAGAACAACCTTGCTAGCTCAGTTTGTGAATATGTTTAGGTTGGCATAAATCCACCCTTTTCATGTTACATGGGCTGCTTCTGTAAGGCCACATAGGTAATCAGTTGAATGAGCTGTCTATTCACTTATACAGTTATTTTAATAAATATTTATTTTTATTTATTACTGCAATAGAAGTAGGTATACACATATTGTCTCCTCTTCTGCAGAACAATATGATCTGACTAGAATATGACTAGCAACATGTGCTTTGAGATTCTTATATATAAGGTGTTACCATAGTGAAATATTATATGGGACCTCAAGACCCTGTCTTTATCTCACTCCTCCAGGGTCCATGGCTTCTAAAACTTTGCTATAGCCTCTGTAGTATACTAGTATAACCCAGGCAGTATGGCTCTCTATCCCTCCTTTTAGTTGACAGTCCACCTAAAGAGATTTGTGTCTGCTGTAACCTTGAGCTACTGAACCTATTTTTTTTTAGCTCAGGAACTATAAGCTCACACTTTTAGACCCAGAAGTCCTGATTGAATGCTTGCTGCAGTCAACCCTCCCAGGGCATATAGGTCCCACTTGTAACCATCATTCCTGACTCAGGTAGTGGCAGCAGAGATTTAACCCATGCATGACATCTGGATTGAAAAGCAGGTGATTGCTGCCTGAGCTAAAGCTCAACGGTGGCAGCAGACAAGCTTTTGTATGTGATCTAGTCACCAGAAGGCGACAGAACCACACTATTTGCTTGGATTACATTAAGCACATTCTAGTTAAGTTTGCAGAGATCTCCATGTCTTCCTTCCACTTCATCAGGCAGCATCAGAAAAGAGACAACCCTGTGTCCATGACTGAAGCAAAAATCAGGAATAGACCCCAGAGAAAGAAATGTTTACACCTCATTAAAATACAATAAAGAACATAAATTATGCACACAAACACTGGTTTCAACCATCAATATCTGAAGACAGGATGTTCAACTGTTTACTCTTCAGCCATCTGAAATTTCCACTAAGCTTACAGGTAGAATATGGCTGCAATGGATTTGGGTAGAAGAGGTGTCTCCTGAAAAGGTCTGCTTTAGGCAGATGTCCATATGACTAGCAGGAAAGGGATCAGAAGCAAAGAACAGCCTCATTAGACAAGCAGGAGGTGAGACTGGCAATTGGGTGAAGAGCAGGAACTAAGTAGATCAGTGGTGGGCAACCTGCGGCCGGTGGGCCACATGCAGTCGATCAGGGTAATCTGATTGCGGGCCGCGAGACATTTTGCTGATGTTGACCATCCGCAGGCACGGCCCGCTGTGGCTCCCAGTGGCCGCGGTTCACCATTCCCAGCCAACGGGAGCTGCGGGAAGCAGCAGCCAGCACGTCCCTGTGGCCCGCAGCTTCCATTCACCGGGAATGGCAAACTGCGGCCACTGGGAGCTACAGGGGGCCATGCCTGCGAATGGTCAACATCAGCAAAATGTCTCGCGGCCCGCAATCAGATTACTCTGACGGGCCATAGGTTGCCCACCACTGAAGTAGAGGGTCCATGCAGCAAGCACAGGCTAATGAGATGGCTCCAAGTCTTTCACGGAGGTCAAAGATTCCGAGACTTTCCAGGACCTCTGGCGCAAGTGACCGCACGGTCACCTGAGCAGCACCGACAGGGACCCGGGTGGCTACCTTGCCCCACGCCCCCCAGGACCTAAAATTTAGTAAGGGATATTTATAGTACAAGTCACGGACAGGTCACGGGCCATTAATTTTTGTTTATTACCCATGACCTATCCGTGACTTTTAATAAAAATACCCATGACTAAATTGCAGCCTTACTAATGAGTATATCACTCTGCTTTGCTCACTAGCTACTCTCCGAATGAGTCAATTTATGATTTTGAAAGTTGATGCTCTCAATGGGCAGGTCCCAGACTCTCCCTTCTATGATCATGACCTCCAGAGACAATTCCAAGGCATAAATGAATTAAAAAACATGGATGAGATTAGCAACACATCAAAAATTCTGGAAATTGAGGTAGAGGAGCATAAAAGCATATTTGGCAATATCAAAATGTTTTGTGAATTTTAAGTTTTGCCAAATTGTTTTGACCAAAAAGCTAGAAATTTTCAGAAAACATCCAAATACTTTGGCATATTTGAAATGAAACATTTTTAGTTCAAAACAAATTGTTTTACAAATTGCCTTCAGTTTTATCTAACAATTTAAAAATATTTGAAAAAATGCTTGAAATCAAAATGAAATGTTTTGTTTTGAAATTTGTTCAATCTGAAATAATTCATCAAAAAGTAAAAAAAAAATCAATTTGACCCAAAACACTTTTTTCAAATTTTTAGAATGGCCAATAAATTTAAAAAAAAAAAAAAAATCAGTTATTTGCACAGCTCTAACTTAGATAGGGTTACCATTCGTCCGGATTTACCCGGACATGTCCTCCTTTTTGTGTTAAAAATAGCGTCCGGGGGGGGAATTT